TCTGCCCGGCGACTATCCTCTTCAATATGGGATCCGCTTTTTCTTGATGGTGGCAGCTAATTATGTTGCTGTCCGTGCGACCGGAACCGGACTGTGCGGGTCTCGTTCGAGTCTTCGAGATGGGCCCTCACGAGTGACATGCAGTGGCCCATGTGACTCGGCGTGCATCGTGCGTTGAAGGTTCGTACAACCTCACTGTGTTTAAGTTCCTGCATTTGTCAAAAGCAGCTGAAATATAGGCTGGAGATGCTACCAAGACATCCTCCGAGGCGCCATTACCGCCAATGCTCCACCCAGCACAGAGTATGACGACCAGTCGGTGACGTCTTGCAGTGACACCACACCCGTAAACCAGCGCATAATCAGAAAGCTTTGGACCGTAGATTCGGTTTTCCATTACATGCGTAATAGCTCTTTGGGGTCCTTAGAGCGATGCCAAGTAAGGTTTCGTTTCTGAAGACTGTTACGAAGATCGCATATCAGAATGTGGCATCATTACAGGATGAAATAGCAAGGCAGCTAAATCGTATCACTTTCCGAACGGCACAGTCTTCCTCGACGACGGAAGCTGTGGCCTGAGGAGAGGAGAATTGCAAGCCGAGAGGTTCGACGACTCAGCTCCGAGGATCGCTATTTTGAACTCAATATCCCCCATCGTCACGACAGCAAATAGGAGGACATGGACAAGCGCGCATGATTGGGTGTAAGGGCGACCGTTATGGCCCAGTACGGCCCCGCGATTTCGAGTGGACAGATTCGCATCCAGGCCCCCCTTTTAAAGAGATCGAGCTTACCGACATATATTCCAGGACTCATCCTACGTGTGCCTTCGTTTTGACGTATGAAGACGTCCACTGTTGATCACGGCCCTTGACCATCCCTGTGTCCCTTTCCTCATTATCCTTGCGGGATGAAAGAAGCTCCGCAATGCGCATTTGGCTGGCAACGGAACGGACTTCCTGGTCGTGCAAGGTCTTGAGAGTCTTGTTTCGCTGCTACCGTTGGCACGGAGGAGACCAGATGAAGATGGAGGTGCCCAGACTAGTATGGTGTGCAGACACGGGCGCAGCTTAAATTGATGATCAACGGTCGGTGCAAGAAACATCCGGCGGATTCCACGAACATTTCTACCATGACCAGACAGCAGTTTAATTAACTTGAAAGAGTTCTACCCGATCCGTTTGTGTCATCTTGCCATTTCCTCTGCAATCGATGGGCATCGATATCATACTCATTCCGTACAGATTGTCCAGAGACCAATCCGGTCATGACAGATTCGACGACCCTTCCCTTCTCCCCCTTAGACTCTACTATAGGCCCACCGAACTGGCGGCCGCATGATACATCAGTCATCTCGTGCTGCTCTCGGTCACAACTTCGAAAGACTTGAACTATGGGCGTCGTACAAGTGATTGGGCTCATACCACATAGCACCCATTTCTTTCCTGGCCGTATGCATCGCCAATCATCGCGACCGCTATGATCTACATCTTCTCGTCCGGTCCGTATATCTGCGAAAAAGGCCTTGGTATCTCTTGACATCCGGTTTTGATGTCCATGGAAGAAACTTGATAGCTGTCCAAGCCTCTTATCCGACGTACCGCAGAGCTCCGCTGATGCGATTATTTCACTTAATGTTCGCAAATGGTGCGAATCTTGGAAATCTGTTACTCAATTTCTTTGGAAGTGTCTTTCATCGTACTGTCTAGAATGCTGAGATCGCCAGGGTTCAATTGGCTCAATAAACCTGACGAAGATTTTCAGATATTTTAAACCACACTTGAGACAAATCATATCGAGACTCACACGCTCTTATCTGGGACAAAGACACGGCTGTTCAAGACCGAGTGAAGGGTCGCAAAGGAATGTCAGGTCAAATTTGCACAATACTGATATATGTATTGATGCCAGTTCTTCCACCGGCAACCATTTCAGCCGCAGTTTCGATGATGCGTTTCCATTGAACTCGGGATGGCGTTTAGCCTCCGGTTACACGGGAGTTCGGGCCCCTGTCCATGTATACCATCAACGTCTGCTGGTAGCTCCAGAGCTCACATCACTCAAGTAGCTCCTTCCCTTTGACCGACACACTCTCCAGAGCTTATCTACTCCCCGCTGAGCTTCCCATCCTCTCGAGTGAAAATTCATGAAATTTTGTCCTTTCTGAAGTCTGCACTGTGCATCACGCTGGCGTCTGTGTTGCACTTTTGTACTCAATCGGCTTCTCCAATTCTGTCGAACAAACTTGGGTTCGCCTCGGCCAAGACAATTCTAACATATACAGTTGGACATCTGATTTACTTTGGCTCCATCAAATCGTCATGCCGTATGCTCTGAGCTCTCAATTGGTTAACTGACGCTAAATTCTGACCATCTGCCAATTCCCGGCAACTCTCGAAGGGGCCTCGTATTCAATCCTTCAAGGGAAGGCGCCCCGGAATACTTGGCTGATCCTCTGACTGTTAGCAATTGGAAGACTCGCGTCGTGGCAAGCGGCGTGCTAATATCCCAGTTTCCTGGGACGCAAGATCTGGCTCCTGCTCAGATTCCTGCGCGCAATTCCTTCAGATAACCCCTAAAACAAATCACTCTTACCTGTTGTTCGCCTTGACATTGAAGTCGCAGTTACAATTTACACTCATAATGCATAATGCCTTGTACATGTAACGCGAACCTAACCTTATATGGCCGGGAACACCGTCTATATATAGAAAAAGGTTGGGAAAGTTGAAATATTCTACTGATCCAATTTGTGAAGGACAGAAAAACTGTGGCCATCCCTTCTAATCACCTGTAGGATAAGTCTCTCAGAGGGTAAAATAAGAACTCATGCAAATTCATGACTGCCGAACACGAAGCCGCGCCGTCCGCCGGTAACTCCGCTTCCGCTCACCCTCCGAGTCAGTGAGCTCGAAGGTACACCGCTGCTGGCAAAGCATGCTCGTTCCAGTGGGAGGTATGCATACGCTGTTATACTGTGGACGTCGGTGGGGGCTTGAGGTCACGAATTCAGAACCTAAACCAAGTCCGAAACCAGAACCATCCGTGTCCCTAAGCACACTCGCACCTTGGCTCATCCTGTTCAGTGTTGCAACAGCGTCGTTGTTATTCATTCTATGGAGACGAGCGTCTAGTCTCAAATATGTTGTTCAGCACAAGTACGCCTCAACCTTCTGTTTTGCATGCGAAAAGCTTGACACGACTTTCTCCTGGTAACTTGTAGGCTGAAGGACGTCTCGTGGCCCAAGAGAAGCGGTGCGATCAGACTGGACGAGGGAGATCAAGGCCCACCCGCCGAGACATTCTTGGATGACTATGACGAGAATGAACACGAACTCCCCAGAGACGAACCTTTGCCCGCTGTGGCAGGCGCCGATGCAAGCAACACCTCGACGGCGTCGCTCGAGGCTTTAGAGGCATTCGCTGACTCAACCGGAGGGGATATTAGAGTTCTACATAAAAATGATGGGCCCAGTCCAAGTCCAAGGGGGATGAGCTGAGTCTGAGTCTGGATATTTCGCTGGTACGTGCTATCGCTATGCATCAATTACAATATTCATGTCTGACTGCAGGAGTATGTTCGCTGCTGTATATTATTTGTCGCTTTTCGTTGCTATCTCATTGTTCTCTCTGCCCATGTATACAACATCATTTCTGCTTTTCGTCATACCACCTTTACGTCGCCTATAGAGGAATGCCAAAAATCTACGCCTTATACGCCTTATCTGGCACCGCAAGCGCTGCTGGTCACTGAATGATGCATATGTACAAATACGAGAACTGGACACGCAATGAGGTTACAGATACCTGTCATGCTTTCTTTTTCTCCGCCTTGCCTGCAGTCACTTTTTCGCCCTCAGGAAAAAGTAAATCCATACCATCAAGCCATTCCAAACCTATGGTCCAGGGCTGCACACTGGGGAACCCTTCTCCATCACCTAATACTTTTACTGATTTGCCACCTCCGGCCCTGGGCGCGAGATTCGGTTGGACCCAGATAAGGCGGACTTTGCCTTTGATCACAGGGTCAATCGACCACCAGTTGTCCGTCCCTATCAACGCCGCAGCTTCTTCTCCTTCCTCAAGGAGAGATGAGGGGAAAGCTGAAGCTTCAGGAAGTGGCGGTTGGATCAACGGTGTTGAGGGCATGTACGAAGTGCTGAGAGGGAAACTGGGCACGAATCTGACGGGCTGGACCGTGGCTGAGAAAAATGGAGCACTGGTCGACACTGATGGCGAAAAAACTCTGATATCAAGAGTTCCAGTTGGAGACGAAGTGAACTCGAAGCGAGCCAGATGCTTCGGCACATTCCAATTCCTGCGACCTGCAGAAAGACCATCGTCATCGTCAGCGACAGCGACAGCCACCACTCCAGTCAAATAAGACTGACCGTTGTAGATTGACGCTTCTGTTGACACATAAATCCTGGTGATGCGCAGCCCAGACATTCCATTGACGGGATTGTCAAATTCTCCAGGAATGTATATCAATTCGTCGTAGGGACCTGGCACGTTGTCATACGTTCATATCTACGAGTGGGGCGGAATTTTCTGGAGCTCACCGACGGGTGTATCAGTATACCGGACTACTTGCACGCTCCCAAGACCACCTTTGAACTGCCCTGTCTTCGTGGCTGAAAAGGCGCCTTCCAGAGGATGATAGGCTCCGTCCAACAGAGGCGTATCAGGCCTTGTCGGCGGAAAGAGGAACCAATAAGCTGAGCCCAAGTTCTTCCATGAACCAGGAGCAGAAGGATACTCTGGAGCAGCCATGAAGACCTCGGGGAAAAAACGGATAAAACGATAGGAGTAACGACACGTTTGCCGAGGGTGTTCAGACCATTATCGCGCCGCCAAAAAGATCGTTGATTACTTAGTCATAAAACCCCTTAATGTGTCGAGAGCCACCAAAGGCGAAATCGGATGCAAAGCGGCTGGAGAACGGGGAGACACCGAATAGAAGCGCACAAAGTTAAAACAAAGGTACAAAAAGAAGCCAATACCGACGACGGGGCTCGAACCCGCAATCTCACGCTTAGGAAGCGTGCGCCTTACCATTTGGCCACGACGGCCTAATTAGCGGCTCTCTTCCAAATAAGTGTTGAGCGTTCGCTCTGTACAGGTAGTCTTCGGCGCAATTCGGCATTTTGATAGCGCCCAGCAGATTACTTCGATCGCTGAGCGCTGAGCCACCGGCAAAACTAAAGGTAAAACCTTGAAGTTGTTCTCGACACTAGCCTCGTGTTCAGGTGACATATAGGGACGCCGCCTTTTTAAAGAAATCAGTCGCCAAGAAGCTGTCCGCGGGTGCCTTGGCCCGTGAACTTATACGAGTATATATAGCCTTGGCGATCTTACCAGGCTCACACGACAGTCATGTCTCCAACGTCGCCCCCAGAGATTGCTGTTGCTATCATTGGAGCAGGTGCATCTGGCCTTATCACCGGGAAAACTCTTCTCGACGACGGGTTCACGAATCTGACACTTATCACTCGCGATGCAAGCCCGGGAGGAACGTGGGCCGCCGAAAGGATATATCCAGAGCTACGCTTGAACAAGTAAATCTCAATTGCCATTGAGTTTTGGAACGTACTGATTTTTACGCAGCGTCCATGGAGAGTATCACTTTTCTAGCTTACCTATGCCTGGCCAGGGAACTACTCGGCTCAAAGGAAGTCAACTCAAAGATTACATGGAATCTTTTGCCGATGCATTCCTGAAGGGACATTTCCGATACAAGACAGAGGTGTTGAACATTCGAAGGCCCAAGACTGATGGCCCAATTGTTGAAGCCCGCGATGAGGAGGGATGGATAGTCACAATCCGAAACTTGAAGGACGACAGCACGGAGCAGCTCAAGTTCGATAAGATCGTCCTTTGCACAGGAGTGAGTAATGATTTTCCCGTATGATGGCTAACTTATGAATGTAACTATAAGGGTTGCAGCCAGCTATATATCCCCGCTGAACTGGAGCCGCCGTCCTCAGTGACAATTCCCGTCATGCACTCATCCAAATTCTGGACCAACCTCGAACCAACACTGTCATCTCTGAAGACCACAGATACCCTCAACCCTTCCACAGTGGTGCTGGTGGGCGGCGGAAAGTCGACGCAAGAGTATAGTTGTCACTTGTTTTAGCCTTCATACGCTGACTATCGCATAGTATTGCGACGTTCCTATGTAAGAAAGGCATCCGTACGAAGGTCGTTTTTGAGAAGGCCGATTGTTTCGTCTGTGCTCCCGATGCAATGCCTGCATTCCTCCGCCATTGCCGGTGAGCTTGATCACTGTCCGCGACAACTCACCTAAAACTTGCAAAATCGCCCAGTATGCTGTCAATCATGTCTCCGAGTATGGATCTGCGGACTCGACTAGAGCAAGTTTTCATTTTTGGGCCCTGCACCACAAAGTCTCACTTCCCTTTAGGCGGTTTTTGCATACAACAAAGTTGGGAGCCAAAATTGTGCGTGCTCATTGGAAGAATATGCAGGAAAGCTCCGTCAGTTGAAAATCCATCGCTACGTCTGTCGTTCCTGCTAACTCATATCGCCCCATAGTACGATCTGCTCAAAATTCCTAAAGACTCTCCACTGCGGAACGCCCATCCCGCGCAATGGACTATTCGTCTCAACGACGAAAGCAACGTACCCGAATCGTTCTTCACATTCACAAATGAGGGCAAGATTGAGTTAATCTCGCCTACACGCGTGATAGGCTATGGTGACGATGGGAAGTCTGTCAAATTAAAGAACGGCGAGACCATAGCCGCCGACATGGTCATACTCGGAACCGGATATACCAGTTCTTGGAAACCGTTGTTTGACGGTAGGCTATCTTTCTGACGTCCATGCCCCTGAACTCTGACGGACACGGACATCCCATTTCAGAGGAGACCGCGAGTCAAATCGGGCTGACCCGCACGGCTCCAACTTCTTTCGAGAAATGGGACTACGAAACACTGAAGGATCCCCCTGCTGCTCATCCGGATAACGAGCAATGGTCTCTGTCAGTATACAGAGGTCTCGTACCTGCAAAGTCCATCCTGAGACACGATATAGCCGTCAATGGCGCTGTGGTGCGTCCAATAATTACTGCCATTATCTGAAGGGTCGCGTCTTCCGGTCCCATATATTGACCATATCGCCGTCCTAGTTCTCGGTGGGCAATGGCTATACTTTTGAGACATCGGCACACTGGATTTCCTCGTACTTCCTCCGTGACCCATTCCTTAAGCTTCCATCTTCTGTGGAAGCTGCGCTCGCGGAAGCATCTAGAGTGGCTGCGTTCGTCCGGCAGCGATGGCCGGACATTCTCCTTTGGGTGAATGACAGCTATAGTGCTAACAATGTCTTCTTTGGGTATGCTTCATCTTCGAGCCATTCGATCTGTCAAATACTCATCCATGCTAGATGGCCACAACACGCCGATCAATTATTGGAAGACATGAGCCTGCCGTCGATGAGAAGCGGAGGAAATTTTCTGACATGGGCTTTTTGTCCTGTCTCCATCATGGAACTGAGGACACTTAAAGAAGAACGCGATGGGAACCGTGCTCTGTTTCTGAAGCAGACACGCATTTGATGTGCCTCGAATTCGAAGGCACCGATTCGAGTGCTAGTATTGTGGTGGTGGTGGTATGGACGTGAGCGTCGAAGACCCCTGTTTGACTTCTACCTACGCTCTCCTAATCTATATATTCATAAGCCTGTAAAGTTCGATGTATAATAACGATACCTTTCTGTATGGTCGAGAAAAATATATCGCTCAGTAATCCGCCTCATGTCATTAGTCAGCGTCCGAACTGGTGCAAGCAGGTCGCAGCGTTGCTAAAATCCTATATGGGCCTAGCGCTCGACTTCCAGGCGGCGAAAAGAATTCTGGACGCCTTAATTACCGCCTCTACCGATCAACATGTCCCTAGTGTCCCTGGACTCGTGGAAACCGACCCACTTTCGTTTTGACTGCGAACATGTCCCGCATCCAACCTTCAACAGTCGCGGTCGCTATCGTTGGCGCAGGGGCCTCCGCTCTCATCACTGGCAAAACACTCTTAAACGATGGGTTTGATAATCTCACTCTCATTACACGAGACTCCACTCCTGGTGGAACATGGGCTGGTGAAAGAGTTTACCCAGCCCTTCGTCTCAACAAGTCAGTTTTTCACTCGCTTTGTACAGTGTGCACTGGTCGATTTCTGACATTACCTCAGCGTACACGGAGAATATCATTTCTCTAGCTTGCCCATGCCTGGTGTAGGAGCCAGCCGATTGAAAGGAAGCCAGCTGACGGATTACATGGAATCGTTTGCCGGTCAATATCTCAAGGGACACATTCGGTTCAGAACGGAAGTCATCAACGTGAGAAGACCAAATGCCTTGGAAACTATCATCGAATCAGAGGTCGGAGAGGGTTGGATAATGACTGTTCGAAACCTGAAAGACGGTTCGACAGAGGAGCTGAAGTTTGACAAAATCGTTCTATGTACCGGCGTAAGCACCTATACTGCCGTATGTCCTAACTTCAAAGTTTGCTGAAGGAGTGGACAGGGATGCAGTGAACCAAATATTCCAACAGAACTTCAACCGCCGTCTTCGCTCCAAATCCCAGTCATTCATTCGTCCAAATTCTGGGTCAACGTCGAGAATATAGTCCCATCTTTACAGAGCACTGATGGCGGCAGTTCGCCCACCGTTGTTCTGGTTGGAGGAGGCAAATCAACACAAGAGTACTGTTATGCCCTATCCTTCATAGCGCATGACTGATCCCATCTAGTATCGCCGCATTTCTATGCAAGAAGGGGATTCGCACCAAGGTCGTATTCGAAACAGCGGATTCTTTTATTTCTGCCCCAGATTGGTTGCCTGCTTTCTTACGTCGAAGCCGGTACGTTCTTCTGTCCAAGTTCGGCCTGCCTGTTGTGTTCAACTGACCACTTGTAGCCTCATGTCGATCATGTCGCCCACAATAGATCTTCGAAGTCGACTCGAGTAAGTGTACAAAATAGCAAAAATCTGTGAATAATCAATGACACGTATGCAAGGCGCTTTCTACATAAGACGCGGATAGGGAGTATGATAGTGCAAAGTTATTGGGAGTCTTTACAGAGCAATTCAGTGAGTATTTTGCGAGCTTCTCCGGCTCCCCCTGCTGACCTGAGACCTTAGTTCAATCTCCTCAAGATTCCTCGAGATTCTCCCCTTCGAAGAACTCACTCAGTATTCTGGTCTATCCGCGTTAATGACGAAAGCTATGCCACCGACTCCTTCTTTACTCTATGTACAGAAGGCAAGATTGAGTTGATCGCTCCTACCCGGGTTATTGGCTATGGACATGACGGACGATCTGTTTTATTGAAGAGTGGTGAAACGATACCCGCCGATGCGGTCATCCTTGGCACTGGCTATGGCAGCTCATGGGAGCGTCTCTTCGACAGTATGTTTCCTGACACTATGATGCGATCGTAATTGACGGATGATTTTGGCTTCCCTGTGCCGTCAGAACAGACCGCGGATGATATCGGCTTGAATCGGACAATCCCAGATTCCTTTGAAAAATGGGATTACGAAACTCTAAAGAATCCTCCGGCAGCACGTCCCAAGAACGAACAATGGGCGCTTTCGATCTACCGGGGTCTTGTTCCCGCCAAGTCTATCCTCCGGCATGATCTCGCCATCAATGGAGCTGTTGTAAGTTTCCGTGCTAAACGGCACGTTTATTCTTTGGGACGGCTTGATCCTCACACACGGAACACAGTTTTCATCTAATAACGGATATACTTTTGAAGCGGCTGCTCATTGGATTTCATCATACTTTCTTCGAGATCCGTTTCTGAAACTGCCATCTTCCGTGGAGGCTGCTATGGCAGAAACGGCCAGAGTTGCTGCATTTGTTCAACAACGTTACCCAAACATGTTGCTTTGGACGAGCGACAGCTATAGCGCCAACATTGTTTTCTTCGGGTTCGTTAGTCTTGTGCTGAGTGGGATCTATTACTTAATATCCTCCATAGATGGCCACAGTACGTAGATCAGCTTCTGGAGGATATGAGCCTGCCGTCAGTCAGAAGCGGCG